CCATGACGTGTGGTAACAAGACATAAGTAAGTAAGTAACTAAGTAAACCTAGAAAATTATATTCAAAAATAGTCAGCGATTAACTTTTAACTCTCTTGATAATAAAAACAGAATAACCTTACTACACTTCTGTTAAGTCTAATTATAATTCCTGGACGTGAACACTCACGTCATTTTACTTATTAAACATTCGATCAACAATTGTTATATTTGATAATACATTTGCTTGAAGTATTTTCCAAGTGTTCCCTTAACTGTCTGATACAATTTCTCAACACTTCAACTGATTACCTATTATGTAACTGACATACAAACGAGAAAATTCAATGGATAATTACTTTTATTTCAGTCAGTCGGTCAGTCAGTAACAACGTGGAACTTCATACGTACGTACATCATTTCGAGTTGCTATATCACATTAGCACAGAGATTCAGTTATCGATTCAAATCCTGAAGTGGCTACCAGTGAAATCCAATCTAATATATGTTTCGTCCTAATTAAGACTCATCAGCTGGATTTACCTGAATCTTAGAGTTGATATTCACTCTAATAGGCAGGTACATACAACTGATGTGTCCTAAATAGAATGAAACGTGTGTCAGACTCAATTTCACTGCTAATTACCATCATTCATTTTTGGCTTATCCATATCATTTAATAAATAAATAACGTATTATGGGTACATGACTTTCTCAGCTATCTATAACAATATCATAGCATCAATAATGCATTAAATGATTATAGCAACATATCATATTTATTTTAAATTCAGTAAAACCGCCATAAATCATTTGAAATATTCAATTGTCAATGATAGTTTGTTCATACGTGTGTGTCAATTTGAGTGTATGTGTGCGTTTGTGTGCGTGTGTGTGTTTGTGTGAATGTGTATATTGCTTACATAATTTATGTATACAGTAATAGAATTGAAGTGATTTCCTTACCAAATAGTAAAGAAGAATAATGGGAATAATAAGTTAACATGTTAAACTGTAATTATTATTGTAAGAAGATGAATAGAGTAATTCCAGACATTTCATTTCTGATTAGTGTTATATACTACTTATATCTGTTGATATAAGTAGTATACACCACGATTGGTGGGAAAATATGAGATAATATGGATAAAATGGATAATTGATACGCTTTTAATTATAAAACAACACGGATTGATTTTTAAATAAATAGTCCTTGTAGTTCAAGATTAATCAGGAGCACACAATGTAAACAATCAGTCAGTCAGTCAAGCAACAACAACGTAGAACTTCATACGTACGTACATCAGTTCAAATTACCATATCACATAAACACACAGATACAATGGTCAATTTAAATCCCATGGTGGTAGAAGTAGTAAAAGTATAAGCAATATTCGGAAAGATTAGGGTTTGAAGATGCTATTCAAGGAGTATAATACAGTGAAATTTAATTTGGAAAGAGAAAAAGGAAAGGAACATGAAGAATTCAGATTAAAATTTTGGAGAACACAAAGAGTAGGTGCACCTGAGCCATTGCAAACGATTTTGATCCATGTCATTCAAGGTCTCTAACCATTGGTCGCTATTATCACTCGGATCCCAACTAGGTAGTCTACATCCATTAATATGGCTCAGTCCACTTATCAATTGCTTCATGGATTTGTGCTATGTTTTGGTCTGACTGCCCCTAGCTTTCTTCCAACCTATTCCTACATCACAAAACATTGCATATTAGAAATGTCCTGTACGCAAGACCGTAGGCCCCACGTGCAGGATCGTGGATGTGCACTGCTGAGGAATCAAATGCGAGGACAATGCTTCCAGGTTTTCTAATATATATATATATATATATATATATATATATATATATATATATATATATCAACAACATTAAACTCCGTGAGTACATAGAGAACTAATTAAAAATGATGTTTTTATTTAGGTGCAATCAAATATTGTCTAAACCACATTATTATCAATGGTTAGCTTATGATGATATATTTGAATAGGATACTGATATTCAACTAGCTAGTGTATGTAGACAAAGCATATCAGAAATCTACAGTTAAGCACGTAATATTGAAAACGATTATTTGTCCATCCAATTCATATAAATTTCAAATAAAGGTAAACATGAAAACTATTCAGTGCTTATTGATTCTTATATGTTATTCAAAAAATATCAACTCCTCCAGGAGCTCCTCTTGAGCTGCTGCCGGTCCCAAGCTCGGATAAAGGAGGAGGGTAGGGCATGCGGTTAGCTACCCCATCTTATAGAAAACTAACTCGCTAAAATAGTGTTAACCAGAAAAAAATAATTCAAACCATTTAAACTTTGTTTTGGAAGTTATAAGGTCTTCATTTAGAAAAGTTATGATGCCTCATGCTGAAAGCCGAGTTCATTCGGAAGTCACAAGGCTAATTCCATTTTTGACAACCAGAGCAACCATTAATTTAGATACATAGAATGCTCGTACAATAAGGGAGACCGACAGAATCAGGATCTTGTTGAAATTACATTATTAAACCATCATTATTTCCAATAAACATCACAAACTGATCTCAATTAGATGAACATTGAAAAATAGGAAGGATTCAATTGCGAGTTTGAAATAGTATGGGACTTGTCTACATCCATTGTATTCATGCATACGAATGTTCAACCTGTACACTACTGGGTTGGTATCTACTCGCTTTTACATATTATGTCAATCAATTCGTTGTTCAATCAGGATCAATTCAAATTGTTAAATGAAACATTCGAGATCACCAAAAACAACTCATAGTTATCACTATCTCTGTCGAAGAAATGTGATTACGGAAACAAACATTCATTAATCATTTAGATTAAGAAAAGAAACCTAATCTCATTCATTTGTACAACAGTTTCTGAAAAGTGAAGATAATTAAATATTGAAAATGTGATACTGAGAAGAATCTATTGATTTCATTTCACTGCTGTTCCAAGAACAAAAATACAAGTGAGATTATGTCTTACTTACTGCCTTCTCGTGACGGTGATATTTTTTTTTTAAAAAATTGAGAGGACGAAAAGTGAATGTTCAGCGCTTTAACTGGGTCGGCGGATATGAAGGATCCATCTAAGGGAGTTGGAAAAACCTGATTTCAAACCAACGGTGTAGATGGGCTCCAGTATCCTCAGGGAACAAATAGCGTATAAGTTAATCGGCTGTCGTGGGACTGCATCTTCTTACGTTGCTCAACTGTCTTGTGGATTAGACTAGATTAACAAACCAATCACGTCTTTTTTAATACGATCATGTATATCATTTTGAAAACAATATAGTAGCCCCCTCCCGCCGCATAAAAAATAAGTACCTTTTGATCATCAACTGTAAATCATGATCTGAATTCTTTACACAGGTTTATAACCCTCATTTGGTCTTAGTTATTAGGTGGATACCCTCAAAGTGAGTCTAGCGTCGCTCATAGGTCGTCCATAAATTATAATCGCACCGCTGAGTTTATATTAGAAAGTAGATTTATCCATTAGGCAATATTAGAACCTCATAGAATAAGAATGTCTATTGACTTAGATTCATATCAAACTGGTTCAGGTAACAAAAGAAGCTAAATGTATGTATAGTTCCTTTTTTTAAAATACAAAATCATATGAATTACTATCATTTCTATTGATTGAATGATTCAATACCATACTACTTTCTATTGATTACATTTAACATATTATATATTGAAGGTTTTCTTCGTTAGGCATCGAGCTTCGTGGAGTTACGATTACAATGAAGGTGACACTGGACAGTTGTTTCGTTCTGGTACAGAACTTTTTAGCAATGTGTATCTATGATCACATTAGGGATCGAACACTGGACTTACATGTCTCATGATAAATGCCTAAGCAATAAGATTATTTGGTTAGTTACCAATGGTATAGTTTTAATTTAATTTGATTTTTAAAGAATGCTTTGATCGATAGGATCCGAAGGTTCAAGACAAATTAACACAATATACATATGATATTGTAGTACCCCTTTTAAATAGTCTCTATGTTTAATGTTTTGAATAAATGACAATTAATTTTATTGTGAGTGTTATAATCAATTAAATGAACTCTATGCCTTAATAATAAGCAAAGATGGATGTTGGTTAGCAGTGGAATCAAGAACGCGTGTATCATACGCTTTGTGATTCGTCATTTGAATTTACGTGCATCTCAAAGTTGATATTCAATTTGAGACTCGAACTCCGTAGCGTTCACTTGAAACGCTACCGTATTATCCACTTAACTATTGAGTCATAATAGTCACTTGCTTATTCAAGGGGGTGAAGTGTTAATTTATTTTGTATTGTATTTTAAATCTTCTCATTGTTGTTTAGGACTGTAATTGGTCAGTCTCTTATTGGTATATGTGCATCGGATGTGGATTACCTCAGTATTGACTTAATTCACAAGCAGTATAAACAAAAGTTGGATAGTGACTAGTAGTATAATCCAGGATACATGTTTCGTCCTATTTGGGTCTTGTCAGTTGAGTTTACCTGCACCTTAGAGTTGATATTGACTCTGGAGCTGGAAATCATTACTGGTTCTCTTCAAATTTCATTGCATTATTCACTAATCTACTGATTCCTAATAGCCACTTGCTTATGCAATGACGTGAAGTTTAAATTCATTTGGTATTGTTTTACTTGAATCTCCCCCCCCCCATTGATGTTTATGACTGTAATTGATCAATCTCTCATTGGTATATATGCATCCAGTAAGTATTGTCTCAATATTGCCTTAATTCACAAGTATTCTAAGCAAAAATAGATAATATGATGATATTTCAAGTGTATGGTACTGGATTTGAATTCTAGAATAAACATCAACTCTGAAATACAAGTATATCAAGCTGACGAGTCCAAATTAGGACGAAATGTGTATCCTCAAATTCTACTACTAGACATTATCCATCTTTACTTCAAATGATAATAATAATAATAATAATACTAATATACATTATGCATATTACAAACTCTACATATAATATAAAACTTACATTGACCATTACATCTTCTGATTATTTTATCCAAAAATGTATTCTGTGGTGCTACAAGACCACGTCTAGATCCACTCATTATGGTTATTATTATTATTACTATTATTATTAAAATAATAAATTAAAATTAAAAATTATATTTCCTCTATTATACATGACCATCATCTACTTGTTCATCACCATCATCGCTATCATAGTACTACCAGTAGTAGTAGTGGTAGGGATAGTAGTAGTATTAGTGGTATTAGTAGTAGTAGTAGTACTAATAGTAATAGTAATCATTCCAAAGTTAGTTCAACTTCCATATTAATCCATTGAATTTATTCAATAGTAATACTCTTTTATTGAATAGTCTAATAATTAGTTGTATGATAGTTGCTAGGTGAATCAATTAATTATTCAATGATTATTTTAAATGATAAATTGTTTAAATTTAATCCATTTGATTCATTCAAACTGATATCAATATGAATATGAATATGATGTATAATAATATTTTAATTATTTAAAGAACATTATAGAAGTAGAATATTCTGGAACAATAACTTGAATATAAACAACAAGAAGAAGAAGAAGAAGAAGAAGAAAAAGAGGAACAAGAAAAAGAAGAAAAAGAAAAAAAAGAAAAAGAATCAATTTTCTTTTCTTCAAAATTGGTTACTAGTTTATTGATCACTTTTTTTTTTAAAGAATGATTATGTAATCTTAATTTGAATATCCACATAATATAAATATAAATTCCATAGTGCTTAATATAAAATGTTTACCATACTCCCCACCCCTTGTCCGGTTGTTATTTTTTTCTTATATACAAAGAAAATATAAATCCAAAAGAAAAATGTTTAATCACTATTGATTTAATAAATGAATCATTATTTATAGATATGAATATTCCTGGTGGGATTCTATTTTTTGTTGTTGTGGTTGTTGTTGTTGTTGT